TTATAAAGAGCTTTTCTTTTTTGCCTTTTTAATGCTCCCCCCCACACCTCCCAAAATTCAACCTCATCTGGTATAACATTGTGGCTTAACTTTTCTCTTTTCATTTGGCTGGTATACCTGTACCATCTTTTATTTTCAACTTTTTTGACATTGTTTTCTAAAGATATTTTTCTTATAATAGGTAAGCTTATCCCATTGACATTTATAGATATGTCTTAGTTCTGTATCACATTTTATAACCTACTTTGTTTTTAAGGATTCATTTGGTTTGTATCTTTCTCTAGAGGGTGTATATTTCTGTGTTTTACACGTGTTCCTTTTGATAATTTAGGAAGGTTTGTGTTCAGATTTTAGCTCTTCTAGTGGTTAGCCTTATACTATAACTTTTAAAAGTATACTTTATCCTTTATTGCTTTAGACCATATCTATTTATTCCCCACTACAAGCAATGACAAAATTATTATACTTCCATCCATCCCATCTCCTTTACTCCATCTAATTTTAATTATTATTATTATTAGTTCTTCAACTAGTCATCTCTATACTTTTGAATATACTTCTGTCTCTGTTATTTGATTTATAAGATATAAATATTATCTTTTTTATAAATTTATTTATTTATTTTTGGCTGTGTTGGGTCTTCGTTGCTGCGCGCGGGCTTTCTCTAGTTGCGGCGAGTGGGGGCTACTCTTCGTTGTGGTGCGCGGGCTTCTCATTGCGGTGGCTTCTCTTGTTGCGGAGCATGGGCTCTAGTTGCGCAGGCTTCACTAGTTTTGGCTCCTGGGCTTCAGTAGCTGTGGCTCGTGGGCTCTAGAGCACAGGCTCAGTAGTTGTGGTGCACGAGCTTAGTTGCTCCGCAGCATGTGGGATCTTCCCAGACCAGGGTTCAAACCCGTGTCCCGTGAATTGGCAGGCAGATTCTTAACCACTCTGCCACCAGGGAAGCCCAATATTATCTTTTCACCTTGGATATTAAAGATAAGGAAATCAGGGACTTCCCTGGTGGTCCAGTGGTAAATAATCCACCTTCCAGTGCAGTGGACGCAGGTTCGATCCCTGGTCGAGGAACTAAGATCCCACATGCCACAGGCAACTAAGCCCGCATGCCACAACTACTGAGCTCGTGTGCCTCAACGAGAGAGACCCCGTGCCACAGACTACCGAGCCCATGTGCTCTGGAACCCGCGTGCCACAACTAGAGAGAAGCCGGACATTGCAACTAGAGAGAAACCCGAGCAGACCACGTGCCGTGACAAAAAGATCCTGCATGCCTCAACAAAGATCCCATGTGCCTCAACTAAGACCCGACTCAACCAAAAAAAAGGGGGCGGGGGGAAAAATAAATAAAATAAACATTTAAAAAATAATAACGGTAAGGAAATCAACATCCTTTTGCCATCTCTCATCTTCCATCTCTCCTTCTTGGTTCTTGTTAATTTTATTACTTTTACTGGTATAATTTATAATATTAACATTCTGAACAATATACAGTAGTGATTAAGAGAAGGAGCTCTGGAACCAGACTGCCTAGGTTGGAATCTTGGCTTTATCGTTTTGTAGCTTGAGCAAGTTACTTAATAGCTATTTCTGTTTCCTTATTTTTACAATGGCTATAACAATAGGTTCTACCTCACAGGGCTATTGTCATAATAAAAGTACAGCACTGGAACAGTGCCTGACACATGGTAAGTATCTAGTAACTACCATATACTATATTAACAATTATTATGAAATAGATTTCCATAGTTGTTTTCATCCCAGTCCTACATTTCAACTGGCTTACATGTTCAGTTTCTCTGTTCATCTCTTGGTTGCCTAAAATTCATTCTCTAATAGTTCTTCAAGAGTTGCTAATGGGAATTCTATCTTCTGATCCTTACGTGTTCAAAAACATTTAACACCTTTTACCTGAAAGAAAGTTTGGCTATGGAGAATAAGAAGAGCTATTTTGAGCACTTATTGAAATCACAGGTGATCTATCCTCATTAAACCATTATAGCTCATAATAATGCTATAAATCAAGTAGTAGGTACATCCCCTTTTACAAATGAGAAAATTAGGACACAGGCAGGTCACACTTCCTTTCTCAGACTTTGCTGGCATTGCACCACTGTTATCTACCTTTGAATGTGGCTATGGAGAAATCAGGCCAATCTGATTTATTTCCCCTTAAAAGTGTCTTGATCTTTTTGCCTGGATGTTCAAAGAATTATTTATTTTTGAAGTCCAGTAAAATTCAATGGGATATGTCACAGGGGTCATTCTGTGTCAGTTTCCTTGGGACAGTGTGTATCCTTTCAATCTGTAGATTAAAGACTTCTCTCACTTACATGAAGTTCTCTTGAATTCTACTTTGATTATTTTTTCTTTTCTACGTGTTCTATTCTCCCTCCTGTGGACATGCTGGATATCCTTTGTCTTCTATATCTATAATTTTATCTCAAATTCTTTTTAGTTCTTTTTAAATTTCCATTTCAGTTTGCTCACTTTTTCAACCTAGCCCTCATAAGTCTTACTATGTTGTTATTTTTATCTGCCCCCCCTTTTTTCCCCATTCATAATGTGACTTTAATTTCTTCGATTTTTTTCTTTTTCTTAATTTTTGAGTTCTGCTTGCTTATTTTACATTTACTTCTTTTGTCTCTCATTATGTCTTCTGCTTTGAGACATTATTTTAAACTGTTTCATTAAGTCCTTTGAATTCATAACAGTATGTTTGGTGTGCTTCATGGCAGTATTTTTCTGGAAAATTTCTTTATTTGACATGTCCTTTTCCTATTCCTTTCCTCCTTTTCCTTGTACATTTGCTGTATAGATCTCCTGCTTGTTTTCTTTTGAGTATTACTCATTACTGAATGAAAGGAGTTCTTCAACCACTATTTGCAAGAATCAACTGGGACAGTGAAATGAGCAAGTGGTGAAACTTCTGTGGCCCAGAGTTTGTGTGTGGGGGTGGGGGGTAAAAGAGAAGAAAAGATGAGATGGAGACACTCACACAGATTGGTTTAGGCTATCTCCCCAGCAACTACAGAGATGCTCATAATATAGTCTCTCCCAATGCTTAGTTTATTTACAGACTGCCTCCAACATAGATAACATTTTTAAGGATTTTATCAATCAGCACTGCCTTGCCCCGCTACTTTACAATGCCAGATAGAGTCCTTGGAAGTTCCCACAGCTTGCGCCCCTTAAACTTTCATTGCAAACCAGAGTGATGGTTCTGTTCCTCTGGTATACCACCTATTTAGTGCTCCGCCAACTTTGTCTGAGAAGTGAGGTCACAGCAGGTATTTACTCTCAGCATCCTTCTGTACTCTGCTGTAATTTTCACTGTATTTTGCAGGCCATCCTCATTTATTGTGCCTTAGGGTTACACTGGTACCTTATTTTGTCAAAGCGTTTGGTTTCCTTTTTTGTTTTCGGCTGTGCCACATGGCTTGTAGGATCGTAGTTCCTTGACCAGGGATTGAACCCAGGCCCTTGGCAGTGAGAGCTAAGAGTCCTAACTGCTGCACTGCCAGGGAATTCCCATCTTTTTCTTTTTTGGGGGCAATGTCAAAGATGACAAGATGACAGACGTGACTTAATTTTGTTATTTTAAAATATTTTGGTATTTAAAACTTTATTTTAAAATTGAGCCGTTTTTAAAAATTGAATGCCTACCTTCTCACAGAGAGTAGGTACCATACCACCTCAGGCCACGCTAAGTGGGAAAAACAGTTTCAAAATTCTATGCACACCCTAGTCACAACAAGATCTCTCATCATTATATAGCTAGTAAGGAACAGAGCTTGTATTCAAATCCAAGTCTGTCCCGATCCAAAGCCTGAATTCTTTTCATCATAGGACTTTCTCTTAAAGAATATAGATATCTCTTTATGGTGTCTTTAATATGTTTTTTCTTTTTTAATTTTAATTTTCTTGGTGTATAGTTGATTTACAATGTGTTAGTTTCAGGTGTACAGCAAAGTGATTCAGTTATACATATACATATATTCTTTTTTAGATTGTTTGCTCTTAAAGGTTATCATAGAATATTGAGTAGAGTTCCCTGTGCTATATACAGTATGTCCTTGTTGGTTATCTAACTTATATATAGTAGTGTGTGTGTGTTCATCCCAAACTCCTGATTTATCCCTCCCCCCTCTGTCCCCTTTGGTAACCATAAGTTTGTTTTTGATATCTGTAAGACTGTTTCTGTTTTATAAATAAGTTCATTTGTATCTTTTTTTTGGATTCCACATGTAAGTGATATCATATGACATTTGTCTTTCTCTTTCTGACTTACTTCACTTAGTATGATAATCTCTAGGTCCATCCATGTTGCTGCAAATGGCATTATTTCATTATTTTTTATGGCTGAGTAATATTCCATTATATATATGCCACATCTTCTTTATTCATTCCTCTGTCGATGGACATTTAGGTTGCTTCCATGTCTTGGATATTGTAAATAGTGCTGCAGTGAACACTGGGTGCATGTATCTTTTCAGATTATGGTTTTCTCCGGATATGTGCCCATCAGTGGGATAGCTGGGTCAATATGGTGGTTCTATTTTTAGTTTTTTAAGGAACCTCCATACTGTTCTCCATAGTGGCTGTATCAATTTACATTCCCACCAACAGTGCCGGAGGGTTCCCTTTTCTCCACACCCTCTCCAGCAGTTATTGTTTGTAGATTTTTTGATGTTGGCCATTCTGACTGGTGTGAGGTGATATCTCATTGTAGTTTTGATTTGCAGGTCTCTGATAATTAGTGATGTTGAGCATTCTTTCATGTGTTTGTTGGCAGTCTGTATATCTTCTTTGGAGAAATGTCTATTTAGATCTTCTGCCCATTTTTTGATTGGGTTGTTGTTTTTTTTGACATAGAGCTGCATGAGCTGTTTGTATATTTTGGAGATTAATCCTTTGTCAATTGCTTAATTTGCAAATATTTTAATATGTTTCTTCTTAAGAACATTTTTCTATTAACTACTTTTCTATTTCCTGGTTTTTAGTGTGACAAGTACAAGACTGGAGTTATTGATGGGCCCGCATGTAATAGCCTTTGTGTCACAGAAACTCTTTACTTTGGAAAATGCTTATCGACCAAGCCCAACAATCAGGTATGGACATTATGAATAAACAGTCCAGATTTATGGTGCTCTCTGATTTTACCTTAAACTAAATTAAAGCATTGTTAAGAGCATTCTTGAACTAGAACTTTAGGACATTTTAAATACTTCAATTGTGCATGCGTTGATTCACTCATCCAACAGATGTTTATAAATCCCCTATTCCCAGCATGTTCCAGACACTGTTTTAGTTATTAGGAAAATAGTGGTGATTAAGATAGATAAGATAACTTCCCTGTGAGTCACATTATTCCAGAGGGATGGGGAACATAAACAGTTGATAGATAAATAAATAAGCAAGGAAATTACAGAACGTAGTGTGTTTTATATAGGTTGTACACAGGGTGGGTTGTTGAAAAATGTAGGGGATGGTGAGGGTAGAAATATGTTTTAGAAGAGGTGAACAGGGAGGACCTTTCTAAGATAAAATTTGAGCTCATACCTGAATGAAGAATTAAACTAGAGGCATGGGCAGAGGACAGGATGAGCTAAATCACAAAAGAAGAACTATAAATAGCTGATAAGCATAATGAAAAAAAAATTCTACCTCACCTATCATCAAAGAAATATAAATTAAAACAATAGGACACCATTGTGCTAGAAGAAAATACAACAAAACATCAAAACCGGGACTTCTCTGGTGGCGCAGTGGTTAAGAATCCGCCTGTCAATGCAGGGGACACAGGTTCGGTCCCTGGTCCAAGAAGATCCCACATGCCGTGGAGCAACTAAGCCTGTGCACTACAACTACTGAGCCTGCGCTCTAGAGCCCATGAGCCACAACTACTGAGCCCGCATGCCGCAACTACTGAAGCCCACGCGCCTAGAGCCTGTGCTCCGCAACAAGAGAAGCCACCACAATGCGAAGCCCGTGCACCACAACGAAGGGTAGCCCCCGCTTGCTGTAACTAAAGAAAGCCCGTGCGCAGCAAAGAAGACCCAATGCAGCCTAAATAAATAAATAAATAAAATTTATTTTTTAAAAAAGTTAAAATCCATTGGAAAGATATAACTTGATAGCTTCCATCACTAGTTATTAATAGATTCTAGAACAGATCTCTAAGCAATTCCTTAAGTAGCACGATATCCTAAGGTAAAAGCAAGTGCAATCAACCTTCTAACACTTCCTTTTTAAATCTTTTTAAAAACACTTCCTAGGGACTTCCCTAGTGGCACAGTGGTTAAGAATCTGCCTGCCAATGCAGGGGACATGGGTTCGAGCCCTGGTCTGGGAAGATCCCACATGCCGCGGAGCAGCTAAGCCTATGTGCCACAACTACCGAGCCTGTACTCTAGAGCCCGCGAGCCACAACTGTTGAGCCTACATGCCACAATTACTGAAGCCTGCATGCCTAGAGCCAATGCTCTGCAACAAGAGAAGCCACCGCAATAAGAAGCCCACGCACCACAATGAAGAGTAGCCCTTGCTCGCTGCAACTAGAGAAAGCCCGCGTGCAGCAATGAAGACCCAGCACAGCCAAAAATAAATAAATAAATATTTTTTAAAAAATGAAGCAAATATGGCAAAAGGTTAAGGTCTGTTGTGAAGATAGTAGGTACACAGGTGTTTGTTATATTGTTTTCTATATGTCAACTGTTCTAAGAACTTTTCATGTATTTCTCTTTGATCCTCACAACCTCCCTATGAAAGAGGTATTATCATTATTTCCATTTTATTGTTAAAGAAACTGAGGCAAGAGAGGTCACAAGGTTAAGAAACTTGCAGAGCAGGTTTGCACTGCAACAAAGAGTTGCCCCCACTTGCTGCAACTAGAGAAAACCTGCACGCAGCAACGAAGACCCAATGCAGCCAAAAATAAATAAATAAAATAAATTTATAAAGAAAAAACAATCAACACTGGTTATCCTTGGGCAGTGGAATATTGCATGATTTTTATTTTCATCTTTTTTCTTCAAATTATTTCTAAATTTCCAATATAAATACTCATTCATCTTATAGAAATTTAAAATAGATTTTAAGTCTACACTACTAGCCATGTTTAAGAGGATTTCTGAAATAAAGTCCAATATTTGAGTATCTACTATGTGCTAGGTACTGCTTAAGGCATTGGGAGAGACCATGGGGAATAAGACAGACAAAGCCTCTGGCCTCATATGCCTTAATGTTTCATGTGAAAGAGGACAGATGATAAAAGAGTCAATAAAGAAATAAGATTATTTCAAGGACTTCCTCGTGGTGCAGTGGTTAGGAATCTGCCTGCCAATGCAGGGGACACGGTTTTGATCCCTGGTCCGGGAAGATCCCACATGCCACGGAGCAACTAAGCCCGTGCACCACAGCTACTGAGCCTGCACTCTAGAGCCCACGAGCCACAACTACTGAAGCCCACGTGTCACAATTACTGAAGCCCGCAGGCCTAGAGCCCATGCTCTGCAACAAGAGAAGCCACCGCAATGAGAAGCCAGTGCACTGCAACGAAGAGTAGCCCCTGCTCGCTGCAACTAGAGAAAGCCCGCGCATAGCAACAAAGACCCAACGCAGCCAATAGATAAATAAATAAATAAATAAGTAAAAATTTAAAAAAGATATAAGATCATTTCAGACATTGGTAAGGGCTGTGAAGAAAATAAAATGGGGTCATGGGTTAGAGAGTGACCTATGATGGAAGAGGGATTTATTCTAGGTAGGGGGTTGGGGAAGGCCTCCCTAAAGTGACATCTGCGCTGAGACTTGAATGATGTGAAGGAACCAGCCGTATGAAGATCAGTGAGAGTGCATTCCAGGCAAAACCAACAGCAAGTGAAGGAGGTCATGAAACAGGAATAATGCTGATAGGTTCAAGGAACATAGAGAAGACACATGTAGATGGGATATAGAGACCCAGGGAGTAAGTGGTAAAAATCAGGTTGGAGAAGCAGGCCAGCTCATAAGAAGCCTAGCAGACAATGAAAAGGGCTTTGGACTTTATTCTGGTTGAATTAGAGGGTTTGACGCAGAGGAGTGATTAATATTATTACCAATTAATATGGTCATATTTGGTTTTTATATATAAGCATGACTAGACTGCCTGGGTTAATATGTTGGCTTTGCCACTATTGTATTCCCTTCATCATGCTGCTTCACTTCTTTCTGCTTCAGTTTTTCTATCAGTTAAATCAGGATAATAATAGTATCTACTGCATAAGGTTGTTATAGGGAGTAAGATAAATTAGTAGACTGTAGCACAGAGTAAAGCACCATATAATGTTAGTTTGATAAATAGCTAGATAGTTAATAGTGACTGATTCTGGGAATTAGAGAAATGGGTGTAGAACTTTTCCTTTTATCTTTCTGTGTAATTTGACTTTTTAAAAATTATATTTACATCTATAAACATATTAGAAATATGAAAGATCTCAAATAAACAATCAAACTTTACAACATAAGGAATTATAAAATGAAGAGCAAACTAAACCCAAACCTAGCAGAAGGAAGGAAAATACTATGGATTACAGCAGAGATAAAGGAAATAGAGAATAGAAAAACAATAATAAAGAAAATCAATGAAACCAAAAGTTGGTTCTTTGAAAAGGTCAACAAAATTTGACAAACCTTTAGCTAGATGGACTGAGAAACAGAGAAGACTCAAATAACTAAAATCAGAAATGAAGCGGGGACATTACTATCAGTTCTACATAAATAAAAAAGATTATATGAGAGTACAGTGAACAATTGTACACCAACAAATTGGATAATCTAGATGAAATGGGCAAATTCCTAGAAACACAAAACCTACTAAGAAATAGAAAATCTGCATAGACCTATAACTAGTAAGGAGACTGAATTGGTAATCAGGCCTTGCAACAAGAAAAGCCCTGCACGTGTGGGCTTCACTGGTAGATTCTACCAAACATTTAAAGAAGAGCTAGCACCAGTCCTTCTTTTTATTGGCTGCGCCATGAGGCATGTAGGATCCTAGTTCCCCAAACAAGGATCAAATCCATGCCCCCTGCAGTGGAAGCTCGGAGTCCCAACCACTGGCCAGTGGACCACCAGGGAAGTCCCACATTAATCCTTATTAACTTTTGCTGGTTCAACATATGAAAATTGAGCAGTGTAATATACCAAATAAACAGAATGAAGGAGAAAAAAAGGATCATTGCAATTGATGCAGAAAAGGCATTTGACAAAATTCATGATAAAAACACACAGCAAACTAGGAATAGAAGGCAACTACCTCAACATACTAAAAACACTTATGTGAAAAACCCACAGTTAGCATCATACTCAATAGTGAAAGACTGAAAGCTTTTCATCTAAGAACAAGGCAAGGATGCCCACTTTCACCACTTCTATGCAACATAGTACTGGAAGTTCTGGCCAGATCAATTAAACAAAGAAATAAAAGGTATCCAAATGGGAAAGGAAAAAGTAAAGTTATCCCTGTTGACAGAGGATATGATCTTATTTGTAGAAAAACCTAAAGATTCCACAAAAAAATCATTAGGACTAATAAATGAATTCAAAGTCCACACACAAAAATCAATTGCATTTCTATACACTAACAATGAACAATCCAGAAAAGAAATTAAGAAAACCATTGCATTTATAATTGCATCAAGAAGAATACTTAGGAACTAACTTAACCAAGGAGGTGAAAGACTTGTACAGTGAAAACTTCAAAACATTGCTGAAAGAAATTAAAGACATAAACAAATGTAATCACATCCCATGTTCATAGATTGGAAAACAATATTTTTAAGATGTTAATGTTACCCAGCGTGATCAAGATTCAGTGCAATCCTGAGCAAAATCCCAAAGACAATTTTTTGCAGAAATAGAAAAAGTCCTAAAATTTGTATGCAATCTCAAGGGACCCTAAATAGCCAAAACAATCCTGAAAAAAATACCAGAAAGCTGGAGGACTCACTTCCTGATTTCAAATCTTACTATAAAGCTGCAGTAATCAAACAATGTGGTAGTGGAATAAGGACAGATATATAGACTAATGGAATAGAACAGAGAGCCCTCACTTATATGTTCAAATGATTCTTTTTTTTTTTTTTTTTTTTGGCTGCATTGGGTCTTTGTTGCTGCGCACGAGCTTTTTCTAGTTGCAGCGAGTAGGGGCTACTCTTCATTGCGGTGCATGAGCTTCTCATTGCAGTAGCTTCTCTTGTTGCGGAGCTCGGGCTGTAGGCATGCAGGCTTCAGTAGTTGCAGCACATGGGCTCAGTAGTTGTGGCTCATGAGCTTAGTTGCTCCGCAGCATGTGGGATCTTCCCGGACCAGGGATCGAACCCGTGTCCCCTGCATTGGCAGGCAGATTCTTAACCACTGTGCCACCAGGGAAGTCCCTCAAATGATTTTTGACAAGGGTGCGAAGACCATTCAATAGGAAAAGGACTGTCTTTTCAACAGATGGTACTGGGAAAGCTGGATATACACATGCAAAAGAATGAAGGTGGACCCTTACCTAACACCATTCTCAAAATTTAAGTCAAAATGGATCAAAGATCTAATGGTAAGAACTAAAACTATAAAACTCTTAGGGACTCCCCTGGTGGCGCAGTGGTTAAGACTCTGTGCTCCCAATGCAGGGGGCCCGGGTTCGATCCCTGATCAGGGAACTAGATCCCACATGCATGCTGCAACTAAGGAGCCCTCCTACCGCAACTAAGACCTGGCACAACCAGATAAATAAATAAATAAATATTTTGAAAAATAAAAAATAAAACTCTTAGATGAAAACATAGGGCAAAAGCTTCGTGACATTGGGTTTGGCAATTATTTCTTGCATGTGACTCCAAAGCCACAGGCAACAAAAGAAAAAATAGACAAATTGTACTTCATGAAAATTTTAAAATATTGTGCATCAAAAGACAATATCAGTAGAATAAAAAAGAAGCTCACAGAATGGGAGGAAATATTTGCAAATCATATATCTGATAAGGGATTAATATATAGACTATATAGAGGGCTTCTAAAACTCAACAAAAAAACAAACAGCCGGATTCATTCTCGAAGAAAGGTATACAAATGTGCAATAAGTGCATGAAAAGATGCTCAGCATCACTGGTCATTAGGGAAATGCAAATCAAAACCACATTTAGGGAATGGTTTGGCAGTACAGTGGTTAGGACTTTGCACTTTCACTGCCGACGCGTGGGTTCGATACATGGTCGGAGAACTAAGAAAAAAAAAGCACACGGTGAGATACCACCTCACACCCATCAGGATGGCTACTATCAAAAAAACCAGAAAAGAAGGATTGCTACGTGTCCTTGGAATCATCTTCTGGTTGTATAGAGAGTGTGAAATATTGACAAGTGGTAAAAACAATGCAGGACAAGCATTGCTCAGTAAAATAAAACTCTGTGAGTTTATTCTGGAAAAAAAAAAAAGAAAATAACAAGTGTTGGCAATAAGGCAGAAAAACTGGAATCCACTGTTGGTGGGAATGTAAAATGGTGTAGCCGCTGAGAAAAACAGGTTGGCAGCTCCTCAAAAAATTAAAAGTAGCATGACCCTATGATTCAGAAATTCCACTTCTGGGTATATATGTAAAAGAATTGAAATCAGGATCTCGAAGAGATATTTGTATATCCATGTTCATAATATTCACAATAGCTAAAACATGGAAGCAACCCAAGTGTCAATCAGTGGATGAAAGGAAATGCAAAATGTGGGATATTCCTACAATGTAATAGTATTCAGCTTTAAAAAGGAAGGAAATTGTGATACATGCTACAATGTGGATAAACCTTCAGGACATTATGAAATAAGCCAGTCACAAAAGGACAGATTCTGTATGATTCCACTTATATGAGATACTTAGACTGAGTAGTCAAAATCATAAAGACAGAAAGTGGACTGGTGATGAGCTGGGGGCTGGGGGAAGAAGGGGAACAGGGAGTAGAGAGTTTCAATTTTACAAAATGAAAAGAGTTCTGGAGACAGATGGTGGTGATGGTAGCACAACCTCATGAATCTAATACCACTGAACTGCATGTTAAAAATAGTTAAGATGGTAAATTTTCTATTTTTGATATTTTACAATTTAAAAAATGGAAAATAATAAAACTGATGACCATGGTCAAAAATATACATATATATTTAGGTATGCAATACTTTTATTATAATTTAAAAAAATTAAGGAGAAAAGCTTTGAAGTATGATTTCAAATTTGCAATTCAGGAAGTCAGCTCAATCTCGGTTTTGTTGCTTGTGTGTTTTTTTAAGAGGAGGACACTAAAAATATCGTGGTAGATTAGAGTTTTCTACTCTGCCTAAAGCATAACTTGTCATTCTTTTCACAGATGTATTTAGGGATTTGGGATAATCTACCAGGTGTTGTGAAATGTCAAATGGAACAAGCACTTCATCTTGATTTTGGAACTGAATTGGAACCAAGGAAAGAAATAGTGCTATTTGATAAGCCAACTAGGGGAACTACTGTACAGAAATTCAAAGAAATGGTCTACAGTCTCTTTAAAGTAAGTATATGCATTCACATGTTGCTAGTGTGAAGTGGTACTCTTCTGGAAGCTGGCAGGACCTCATTCTAAGCCATAAAAATGTTGGTATTCTTTGACCTATATCAGGGACTCTATCTTGAGGAAATAATTCAAAGAAAAAAATGTATGGAGGGTGTTTAACATTACTATCACTAAAAATGTCCAGATGTGAGAGTTCATTAAGTAGATGGGCTGCTCTATAGCTTGACATTAAAACTGATACACTTTTTTTAAAAAGGTGAAATAAAATTAGTAGACTGATTCCAATTTTTTTTTTTTTTTTTTTTTTTTTGCGGTACGCGGGCCTCTCACTCTTGTGGCCTCTCCCGTTGTGGAGCACAGGCTCTGGACGCGCAGGCTAGCGGCCATGGCTCACGGGCCCAGCAGCTCCGCGGCATGTGGGATCTTCCCAGACCGGGGCACGAACCCGTGTCCCCTGCATCGGCAGGCAGACTCTCAACCACTGCGCCACTAGGGAAGCCCGCAAATTATTTTTTTAATTTAAAGAAATACTCAGAGATTAAATAGAAGTATGAAAATATTGGGAATTCCCTGGGTCCAGTGGTTAGGACTCCGCACTTTCACTGCCAAGGGTGCGGGTTCGAGAACGGGTCGGGGAACTTCCGCAAGCCACGTAGCATGGCCAAAAAACAATGAAAATAATTACACTTTTGGAAAGAATCTTTTTCTCATTTTTATTGCTCTTATATTTTAACTCAAAATCTTTCTTTTCTTTGAACAGTTTACAGTTTTAGACTGTTTTATGCCAGAGAGTCTCCACAGGGAAATACTTGTAGCATTCATTATTGGAACACCTTGAATAAAATAATTAATATAATAACAATTACAAAATAGGAGAAAATAATTTGTAGTTGACCCGTTAACTTTGGATATGGGCAAATTACACTGCAATTTTGCAAGTAAGTGTATGAATAAGACAAAGATTAATTAATGGCTTGGTTAACTGTATTTATCTACAAGGTCTAAGGAGGCTATGGGCGTTAAGGTGGCTATTTCTTAACATACTTAGCAAAGTGGGTTTCACCTCAAGTACATAAAACATAGTTCTGACTCACTTAGCAAACATAAATATTTGGAAAGGTATTAAGTCTCCTATGGGTATTCAGTAGCAAGATTATTACTTAGCATGGTAATTATCCCTGTAAAGGAAGTTAGTATGTTACATATGAGATTGTTTTTCATTGCTTCTGTATAATTAGTCAAATTCTTATCTTTACAGGCAAAGTTGGGTGACCAAGGCAACCTCTCTGAACTGGTTAATCTCATCTTGACAGTGGCTGATGGAGACAAAGATGGCCAGGTTTCCTTGGGAGAAGCAAAGTCAGCATGGGCACTTCTTCAATTAAATGAATTTCTTCTCATGGTAATACTTCAAGATAAAGAACATACCCCCAAATTAATGGGATTCTGTGGTGATCTCTATGTGATGGAAAGTGTTGAATATACCTCTCTTTATGGAATAAGCCTTCCATGGGTCATTGAACTTTTTATTCCATCTGGGTTCAGAAGAAGCATGGATCAGTTGTTCACACCATCATGGCCTAGAAAGGCTAAAATAGCCATAGGACTTCTAGAATTTGTGGAAGATGTTTTCCATGGCCCCTATGGAAACTTCCTCATGTGCGATACTAGTGCCAAAAACCTAGGATATAATGATAAGTATGATTTGAAAATGGTGGACATGAGAAAAATTGTGCCAGAGACAAACCTGAAAGAACTTATAAAGGATCGTCACTGTGAGTCTGATTTGGACTGTGTCTATGGCACGGATTGTCGAACTAGCTGTGATCAGAATACAATGAAGTGTACCTCAGAAGTGATCCAACCAAACTTGGCAAAAGCCTGTCAGTTACTCAAAGACTACCTGTTGCGTGGTGCTCCAGTTGAAATTCGTGAAGAATTAGAAAAGCAGCTGTATTCCTGTATTGCTCTCAAAGTCACAGCAAATCAAATGGAAATGGAACATTCTTTGATACTAAATAACCTAAAAACATTACTGTGGAAGAAAATTTCCTACACAAACGACTCTTAGTTCATTTGGACATTGTGACCATTTTAAGAAATTTAGCACTTCAAAAGAAAAATCTTGAACATTTTTTTCTAAATGGCTTGATTCAAATCCTTGCCAGTTATCACAAAACTCCTTTCCCCTGATCCTAAGGAAGCCATCATCTTAAAATACATGTTGATTGCTGAAGTAATGGCAGGAGGTATAGGATCAAAAGGTCCAAAAATATTCATTCCTGCCCTTTTAGAAACGCTGGTACATTTCCTAGTACATTCACTGTGTAACTGTTTTGACTAATGACTTAAAAATGCTGTGAAAAGCCTCATTCCATAAACATCAACGGTCCGAGTATTTTGTAGATTTGTTAGCCAAAATATCAGTGCTGGAAATTGTGTTTGCATTGAAGCTGCTGTTTAAAAAAGAAAATTTATAAATTTACTAATGTCTCAGCATGGTAAAGTTTGCACATTAACAGAAATTAAGACTGCAAAGCAGGTAAATTAAAATTACTCCTTTATAAACAGATGTTGGGTTAATAGCATGGTTTCTTATAAATACACTTAACTCATTTAGACATCACATTTTATGTGGCTTCGAAAGTTGAGTGGCTCTTACCCACTGAAAACCCATCAGAAGCATTCTACTTGGCAATATATAATTGCCAATTTTAGAGGCTGAATATGGATGAGTTCATCATCCTAGATTTAAGGGTCTGTATCTTAGTATCAGCCAGCCAACTGGTCTTCAAAACTCGTATCTTTAGGCCACAAACCTAACACAGGTACACATATCCTGAATCTGAGCTATGGGAAAGTGGGACATTAAGAGCAGGACTCTGAAATCATAAACTTCCTATTAATAATTTTCCATTTTCAAACAAACAGTATTCCCTATTGGCCAAAGGACTGTTTCTCAAGAGGCATGTAAATATATCCATCTCTTTTTCTCATGTAAACTTGATATACAAGGGTTAGTATTTGCTCCTCTCTTTTGTGTTTATTCAGATCTGGCCTTTCAACTCCATAAAACGAAACACCTCTTATAATTAAAGAACCAGCATTTTCGGGCTTCCCTGGTGGCGCAGTGGTTGAGAGTCCACCTGCCGATGCAGGGGACGCGGGTTCGTGACCCGGTCCAGGAAGGTCCCACATGCCGCGGAGTAGCTGGGCCCGTGAGCCATGGCCGCTGAGCCTGCACGTCCGGAGCCTGTGCTCCGCAACGAGAGAGGCCACAACAGTGAGAGGCCCGCGTACCGCAAAAATAAATAATAAATAAAATTTAAAAAGAACCAGTATTTTCTGCTCAAAGGTTTCACCTGGATAAATGTGTTAAAATTATATGACCTTCATTGGAGAGCTCTCTCTCAAGAACTAAAGCCATGGAGTAGCATCAGTTTCACTTACTTTAAAATTGTAAACTTTGAAGGTACTTTTTCTTCCAACTCATCGTGTGGTTACAATAAATGAATGGAAGAAATATTTCTAGGGGAAGGTTTGTCTGTTGCTTGCCAGACTTTTTAAGGACAGCTGCACATCATACAATTCAAGGGATAACTCCTGTCAGGAAGAACAGATGCCCAAGGTATGAACTTTGAGGCAATATGTAAGATTTTCTGGAAAAAGCTACACTTGTTTCTGGAAGGAAAATACTGTCAATTTCAGGTACTTCCCACAGTTTCATTAACAAGAGCTTAACACAGAAACAGCTACTTGTTCAATAAGTTTATTACTGTCTTTATCTGAAAAATCTTCATAGAAATTGTGGTTTGGTTTATTAACTCTCAGCAGCCCGTTCCTGAGCTCTAAGGAAGCTTGCCTTCTTCTGAGCTACCCGATCTTTCTTCTGGGCAAGTGACATTTTGGGACGGTTCCACCTACAGAACAAGGTAAAAAGAAGAGAAAGGGACATAAATTTTAAAAACCATAGCGAAAGAGAATAGAGAATATTTAACTTTGAAAAAGACCCACTTTGTAATAAAATGGAGGTCAAATAATCCCAAGTCCAATACCTGTTCTCTTCCTTAGTTAGCCTATTAAAAAATGCAATAATTGACAGTGTCAATGTACTGGGACAGAATGGGCCACCTCGGTAGCATCCAAGGCCAATACATTTCTATCACCACAATTACTTTAGCAAACCTGGTTCCCCTCACCTCTGCAACATCATGCAGAGCTAGTGATCGAGTTTGCACAACTTCACTCAGAGTCTGAGCGAGATGAAACAAGGCAGGAACCCCTCCCAACCTCTTTCTCTTCAAAAAACAGTAAAACACATACCTCTTCTTTTTGACTTCTTTCTTAGGCTTCTTCTCATACACTGGATTCTCTCGTATTGCAGCATGAGCCTTCTTATACATCTCCTCCATCTGAAACAAAGCAAAGCAAACAGTACTTGGTTTCATTTCATATGCCCTAAACAGTAATAAAACACACTTTTCTACTGCTTGCTCTATTTTGTCCTTCTAAGCCAGATTCTCAAAAGAAGCTAAACTAGATCAATATTGATATCTTTTTGTAACCCATCTTTTCCTAAGAAAGTCCCAGTTTTTACCATAAGCAACATGAATTGACACTATTCACAAAACACAACAATCTTCCTCAAGAAAAATTCGCATGTATTTCTGAATAATTCAGCTATACTTCATGAGTCACTTAAGTTTAAAGCAAACTGTTTTCTGTAGAAACACATTTTATGCTCATTTAAAACCATCTGACCTAAATTCTTTCATTCAAGTATGGATACATGCCAGCATTTAAGATTTAAGATGAAAAATACATGGACTAACAAGCAACTGCCAAATACATCTCTGTCCTCCCACATTCCCCATATTTCTATTTCCCACTGATTTCTGATAGGTCTTTTCAAAAGTTATTCCCAGAATCCCACACCAGGAACCTCTTGATCTACTACCACAAATCACCAGTATCTGGCAGCAGTATCAGGCCTCTGTGGAATCAGAAAGAGGCCCGAATTTCCCTAGAAAACCGCTGTCCAATTAGAAACATTAATGAGAATTTTGTTCTAAAATTCAACAAAAAACAATGCTGCAACTCTCTGAAGTGTTTTAATACCCCCACCCCAAATGACTATTGATCACATGGAAGATCAAGTCAGGAAGAGAAACTGTAAAATGTGTGAAATTCAGTAACAATTACAGCCTTCCTGAAGAGTGAGTCAAGGTAATCCAGGTCTCTAAAACTACTCATTCCACGTGAGTAAAATGCAATTACTGGGCTTCCCTGGTGGCTCAGTGGTTAAGAATCCCACGGGTTCAAGCCCTGGTCTGGGAAGATCCCACATGCCGCGGAGCAACTAAGTCCGTGTGCCACAACTACGGAGCCTGTGCTCTAGAGCCCACGAGCCACAACTACTGAAGCCCATACGCCTAGAGCCCGTGCTCCGCAACGAGAAGCCACCGCAATGAGAAGCATGCACACCACAAGGAAGAGTAGCCCCCGCTCTCCGCAACTAGAGAAAGCCCGTGTGCAGCTACAAAGACCCAACGCAGCCAAAAATAAATTTTTTAAAATGCAGTTACTACATGCATTTGTATAAAGCTTATTAGCAAAGGAAAATAATGCAAAAACAGAAAGTGATCTTTCCCTCAATTATAACTCTATTTTAAAAATAATTTTCAGACATAAGTATGCCAAATACAAAATATGCAGCAACAGAAAAAAACCTAATAAAAACAATTACTTGATATATATCAATTTACATATAATTCTGTATTTGTAATACATTTATAATAATCTGTGATTTTTGTGTTCTATGCCTTCGCTATCGAAACTCGCACTGTCATCATCAATTACCCCAATGTATTAATAGAGAGAGCCCTGAGACTCAACTTTAGGGGTGATAAACTTTGCAGCATTAAACTGACTTTTGAAAACACGGGTCCCTTCACTTTTGCAACATCACACAGAACTAGTGATAGAATCTGTACATCTCCCTTTTTGTGTGCATGCCTGAGACACTGAGAAAGTCCAGAACATAGCACTTATCTGCTAAGAATGAAGAAAGAACCTTTTTTTCCCCATGACCTCAAAATGAGTGAAGTCTAGTAACTAGCACCTCATATTGGAGTAGATTATGACCACATGAATGAAATTTATAAATACAGAACAGCCAAATGCATAAAAGCCACCAAAGGCTTTAGATTTGGATGCCTGAAGCCTGCCATCCTTCAGCATCTAAGAGATTCCTAAAAGCATGTTGACAAGTCCAGCTCCTCAAGTCAGTATCTTGTCTGACTTTTAACCTACCCTAGGTGCAACATCCCAATTTCATTTTAACATGCCCATATTCAACTTTTAACTGTTAACCTGAAATAAAACTGTATTAACATACCCACTCAAAACAGGTAAGAAACCCGGTTCTATAAATTTACCAATACAGGTATTTTTAGTTAAATTTTTACCATGTCTGGAGTTACGTTGTTCTTTATGTATTGAGAGAATTGTTTCTTGTAAGCATCTTCATCTTCTTCAATCAGGTAACGCATATAATCTGCAACGTTCTGCCCCATGATGTGCTTTCGGTGTACCTCAGCATTGAATTCTTTGCTTTCTGAATCATAACCAGGGAACCGTTTGGTACTGAAATAAAGTTTTCCATGTTTTAGTATATAATGGTTGAAATCAGTTCACTAGAAGGAATTCATTTCAGTAGCTGCCATCAGTCCCGTCTTGAAACAATTAATTGCATCATATGCAACCAAAGGACCAACTACTGACTGCTCAGTTAGTGGGACATCATCATTCAGCAGCTAATTTTTGAATTCCAGGTAGAAAATCATGCCACAAGCACCTTTAAATACCATTAAATGAACCAAGGCCACTATGAAGTTAGTTCTCCTTATTTCATAGCAAAGGACAGCCTACACTCTTATTTCCAGTTGAAAGTTTAAAAATTTATGTCTTTTTCTCAAACTTTTTCCCCCCCTAGAGTCCATATTTCCCCATAACTCAGTAAACAAATTTTCATTCTGAATTAAACAAACAAACAAAAAAAAAATAGGGGGAGTACTGGTGGAAAAGGTAGTGGTTTCAACACTGGCTCTTCCGTTTATTGGCTCTAAAACCTTGGACAAATAATTTTACCCCTGAACCCCAGTCTCTTCATTTATAAACCATGTTACAGTTCCTTCCCACCCTGCCAGGTTCCCTTTGCACAGTACCCAGCACATGGCAGGTACACAATGATAGCTACTATTACTCTAATTGGTTCAGTTATCTCCACAGCCCAACCAGTTAGAAACAGTGCAGTACTGGAGTCCAGGCAACGAGGCCCTGAATACTATTATTACCTGTGAGGGATAGACAAGCCTCCATCGACAGCTCCCTTCAGGGCCCCAAAAACTTTATTCCCAGTAGTAGTCCTGGCAAGCCCTGCATCCAAGTAACAGGTGAAGGCACCAGGTTGACCATCAATGCTTTCAACATTGTATTCATCTCCAGTCACCTCGACTTGGCCTTCATAAATTTTGTCCATACCAAACCTATTAAGAAGCTATTAACAAAAAAGCCAATCTAAATGCTTGTTAGAATATATTCAAACAACAATATCTCAAAATTCACAACTTTAATGACCTGACAAAAAATTTCCTTCCAAATCACTTTTTCTCTTTATCCCAATCTGCTTTTAAATATCAATTTTTAAATGCCACAAAAAGAAATTTCAGATATCCAATTTTACCAACAAGTATAACTGTTTAACAGTTTCTGAACCTGCTACATTGTCCATACTTGATTTCTATAGCAATCAATAAGGACATGATACTTAAATTTGATTCTTATATATTTACTCAAGGGAAGTAATCTCCACCTTTCCTCGGTCATATTTAGCTATAATTCAACCACCAAATATTAAATATTATCATAGGCAGTTTAATTTGATTACAGTATTATGAGTAGGATCCTGTGCTGAAGAGAACACCTTTTGTGGCTCTACCCTGCCACTGTATTATGTTAATATGTGCCACTACTCTGCTAGTTATCTATAGTGCCTTTGCACCAAGATGCTCATATAAAAGACAATGTCCCAACCCAAACATGTTTATAACCAGTGAAGATGTGGGTCCCCAACAATGATGCATGCTTAACAATTCCACTGCAAAACAAGGTCAGAAAACAAAAACAAGGTAAGATCACATTTTCATTTCCTTTTATAGGAAATGTTGCCACCCAAAGGCAAAGATTATTAAAACAAAAATGAATCCCCCCACCAATGCCTACCCCCGCCTCAAAAGCTTAAGGCACTGCTTCTCAAAATTTAGCATGCATATAAATCACCTGGACACCCTATGAGAATATAAATTCTGAAAGTGTGGGGTATAGTTTGCATTTTTAATGTACGCTGATGGTAAGATCTACACTTCTGACTAGATCTGTCCAACAAGACAGTCACCAACTAGCCACAACCTGCTATTCATATTTAAGTTAAAAACTCAGTTATCAGCAGCACTAGACACATTTCAAGCGCTTAATAGCTACATGTGGCTAGCGGCTACCATATCAGACAGCACAGATTACAGATATCCATCAATGCAAAATAATTCTATTGGTCTAGATATACCCAACAAATGGGAGAAAACAGAAAAAAAGGCTTCCCCAGATTATAAAGTACATCTGTCTTAAACAAGGTATTTATATAAAATTATCTTCCCTGGTGACGCCCTTATAAGCCACAGGGCAACAGGAGGCACTCCTCTCTCCCCACAGCTAGCTGAAGGTGTCTTATCCATGTGTGAACCATCTATGTTGCAGACAACTCCAGTGAGCTAATTCCAAAATACATCACTTAAAGTAATCTTGTACATACCCTGCGTGCCAGCAGCAGGCCAGTACAATATGCTGCAGCATAATTTGTCAGGCCAACCTTCACACCATACTTCGGGAGTTCATGAGCATAAGCTGCACAAACTATCATATCTCCTTCTATACGGGCATAAGCAATCTACAATAAGAGAAAAAACAGGTTAGTAATCTGTTTTCACTGTTTTGTGGATTACTTCCTAAGTGCCTTCTTTTTCAAAAGATTTAACAAAAAAACACACAGATCTGCATCACTTAAGATCTTTGTTAAACCCACTCACCTTCAACAATTATGGCCTGGTCAACTACAGAAGGTAGGTTTATGAGTTTGTAAGTATGTTTGACTAATTTCACAGTACATAAGTCTCAAATTACCACAGACATCGAATATTAAAATACCTTTGGAATAAGTTATACTGTAGTTCCTTACTTCTGAGAAATACTGAAAAGACCTTGAGCTGGGAAAGCTGGTGAATTAAGGAGGCACTTTGAAAAATCAAAAAGGAATCCCTGATTATTTCAAACACCTTTTAAACTAAGCATATCTAAGTCCAACAGTGTTTCAGAAAACCTAATATTTAGTTATCTGAACTTAGGTATGGAGGAAGAGATTGCCTTCACAACCAACAAATTAGTCTGGCCAGAAAATAAATGTGCCTGTCTCCTCCAAATCTCAAGTACGAAAAGTTTTCCTAGTTGTAAAAGCCCAGAAAACTACCTTCTAGGAGCAAATTGCCACTTTCTGTAAGTCTTTTACATGGGAGACACCTTCGTTAAGTATTTACTAAAACCTATTTTGAACAATAATCAAGAATAAAAATAATCTTAAGAGTCTAATTTAACATTCACAACTACCTACCTCTTCAAAGTATTGGATAAGTGAACTCAGTCCACAATAAATTCTATTATCTTACTGGAATTGGAATGGGCAAGAACCTTCTACTGGGTCTCAAATTTACCCTCCCACCCCCACAAAAATAGCACAGTGCCATGAACTTCTCTAATCCCACCCCCACCCCCACCCCACCCCCACCAATTAGAAAGTGAATGGAATTAAACTGGGTCAGGATTGCCAAAGAGCTGATCCTCAGAGTATTTTTTACAGTACCAATTTCCCAGGTTCCAACTTCAAACCTACTAAAAGAACTACTCAATGTTCCTTGGAGTGCCAGGCACTAGACTAGATGGACCTAATGCATACATTGTGTTTTGCTCCCCAAGTACAACTTTTCTACCACAGTGAGGGCAGAAGGGGGGGGGGGGTGGAGGTTACCATCCATTACTTGCGTCTAGAATACAACTTACCTGACAAATGATATCTCTGTTAGTTACACGAACTATCATTCTGTATTTGGGTGTGTTGTACTTATTTTTATCTTGAATTACCAATCGTTTCCGAGCATAGTAGTCAGTTTTGCCCTCTGAAAAAAAAAAGTAATTTAAAAAAGTCTGTTCCACTACAAAGCAGATTCTTTTCATGTCGTGAACATGAAAACCTGACCATACCTCGCCGTCTTCTAAATTTCACTTGGTATCTCTTGAAGTAGGCCTTATTCTTGACAACTTTAACAAACCCCTTTAAGATAAAAAAATGTTATTAAAACTTTGATAAATGTTTTAGCTTCTGATACTTTTGACATTTGTGTTAACTGTGTAACAAAATAACACTTAAACTTCAAAAGTGAATCCAGACACAACCATCACTTTCTCAAATCTGAAGTCAAGAATCACTTTTTCTCCTACTTTCCATATGTCAAGACTGACAGTTTCATAAAGCAAAATAAAAATGAATCAGCAGGAAAGATGGAATGAAAAAACATACAAAATGCAGGCCAATTTATTATATTCACCAGATATAAAACTGTCACATTGATTTTAAATTCTTAAACTTACTCTCAACTTTTGTTCCCTATTGGACCAGCAATAATCCTAGTGACCAACTTTGCAAAACACTGTTCAAGACAGCAATCTTGCAAACGTCAATCTGTTCTTAACACTGTCCCATTTCGAGAACCTAATATTTCCCTCTTTCCACAAATGTATTTCAAAAGCCTAAATTACTTGCCACAAAACATAACTGGCCAAGGATATATTCAGCAATTACTCCCGATTAAAACAACACTGACCCCCACCAACTAAAGCAACACCCACCCGAAGAATCATTAAAAAGCGGAGCCAGCGACGATATAGAGAAAGAGGCAGGCGACGCATACCAAAGTAAATGAGCTTCTTTTCGGGGCCCAGAGACCCCACAGCCTCCAGGTTCTGCTGACGGTTGTGGCTTAAAAGCCACTTCTTCGGCCCCAAAACACAGGTTTTCCGAACAATTTGCCAGCCCCGACGCTCTCCCGGAAAACCCACCAAGCAGTCATGGGTGGAGCTGGGTCCGAGGAGCCGCAGCCCGTCTCCACTCAGGCATCCCCCAGCTAGTCTGAGACTGACTCTACGCAATCTCCTCGCCCCGGCCGCCTGCCGGTGCCCCCTCTGCCGGGCCAGCACTAACCCTGTCGTTTGTCTACTATACTCACCCCATCCCCAATCCTCTGCCCCAACTCCCCCTCTTCTTCAACCCCTCCCCCCGCCCGCTTGTGCGCCGTGGCAGCCATTAAGGCCACGCTGGGAGCTGCAGCCCGACCACGGCAGAGCCGGCAATCTAATGGCATCCGATCCCTGCACAGCGCCAGACGGAACCTAGCCTGCCTTTAGGACAAGGAGGGGGAACCCCCATGCATCTGTAGCCCCGAGACCGAGATACACACTCACCATCCTGTAGAACAGAAGCTCTAGGCGCCACCAAGCTGCAAAACCAGCACGGCTCCGGGGGGGGAAAAAGGCCGTGGCGCGTGCGCAGGCGCAGTATGTAGCGCCGACGCTCACGCCAGCGACGTGTGGAAGAGAGACCCGCCGGCCGCCTGGCTTGCAGTACTCCACCCCCTGCTGGTAGGAGGACCGATGCTGGACTTCGCCTTCCCAAAACAAATCCTCAAAGTCGCGGAGTCCCAATCTCCTGACTGGTGATCCGACAGGGAAGGGCGGTGATCAGTAGCAGGGAGGATTGTAAAAGGCTTTCACGTTCCTATGCTAGGAAGTTGTTTCATAACAAACATTATTACTTTTGTAAGCAAGAAAAAAAAAAGTTTAAAAATTAAATAGAATGAATTAGCTCTAGAGCCCCTTTACCCCCTCCTTGACTACTCCGGGTCCAGAGCATGCAGATTCCCCCTCAGGAAGCCAAGCCTGGGTTAGGGGCCTTCCCACAGCACCTTTGTACCTGTCTCAGCCTACCCTAGATTGTAAACTCCCTGAGGGTGGGCCCTGCTGTCGAGTTCACCTTTGAATCTCCAGCATTTAGCACAGTACTCACATTCAGTAAGTATTCGGTATTTGTTAAATGGTAAAAAAAAAAAAACGTACTACTGTCTCCCTCCATCGTCTTCCCTGATCCCTGACTGCCTTATTCCTTTTCCCTCCCTCCATCACTCTCATCTAGTCAACATAACTTTTTTCTAAGTCCTTTTTTTCCTTTTTTTAAAACTAATTGCAACTTAAGAATTCCCTATTCTCCACACAGAGACTGAGAAGAACCAATCAACCAACCCACCAAACAAAAAAGCACCTCAAGAAACAGTATTCCCTCACCCAACAGTATTTCAAAGGTGGTCTTTGGGCTATTGCATGGGAATTGTGTGGGTACTAGGTAAAATGCAAATATCTGAATATTCACCACCTCTAGTAAATCAGACTGGCTGGCTTGGGGACTGGGAGTCTACATTTTATATTTGGCCTCAATCAAGCCAAGCCAAAAGGTCTCAGGAACGTAGAAAACAAATTCTATTTTCCCAATATTGGAATTTACTGACTCCACCAGGAAAAAAAGACAAATTACATTCTGGCACAGCAATTTAAAATGTACCCATCCTTAGAATGAATTTTAACTCTGTACCCCCATCCTCCAATGATTTAAGACTGCTCTTGGGACATGAGTGTGTATAAGTTTAATCTAGCAGGAAAGAATCAGCATGTAAACTGCTCAGTGTCAGAGATGGGAGAAGGGTCTGCTGAACAGAATGACCAGATTAAGTGGTTCTAAAGAACTGCCACTTGAAACAAATCAGAATCGTGAGGCCAGTTTCCTCTGGTTTCAATTTGTAACTCCTTTTATAACCAGAAAAATTTACGTTGAGTCCACTCTGGCCAAGGTCTACAAAGCCCTCAAGGAGAAATGCTGAAACATTCCTCACAGGCCAAGTGTGGTTCCATCTTTGTCGAGTGGCTTTTGGAAATGTAAAGAAAGAGGCATACAATTTGTGTTTATAGAAAGTACATAAGACCTTCATTTTGGTAGTCCATCAAGTTATTAGCCTACAAAACATGCCACGTGTCTTAGTCAGGCCCTGCTTACATTGCAGGTGGAATCATCAAGAGGGAAAGTCTACCTGGAAATAGGTCCAGCCCTAACTTTTGCACGTTATAGGGCAAGGGTACAAATGAAGGCCACATACCATTAACCTGAATATTTGGATGTTATGAAGCAAGCTAACACACAATTAAATGTTTTATTCTTCTTATCTTGCTTCTTCTTACCTTATAAACCTTTATAAGAACAAAATTAAAATATGTGAACCTATTCACTTTGGTTGCAGCTGGGGGGTTGTGGCTAGCGTGGCTGGCTCAGCCAGTGCAGTTGGTGACACCAGGAACCAGGGGGAACTTGTCCAGCACCCTCGACCAACATAATCTTGTTCAAGTAGTAATACTTAAAAATCACAGTAATGGGACAAGTCAGTTTTATGTGCCTCCTGATATCATGCACTGAGAACACAGTCTAATTTAATTGTCTGATACATGATGAAACTGCAAACAAACCTAGATTGAGGGATATTCTACAAAGTAACTGTCTGCATTCTTCAAAAGTGACAAAATCCTGATGGATAAGGAAAGACTTAAAGAACTATTCCAGATTAAAAGAGACCAAAGTGACATGACAAACTTCATGCAATGTGTGATCCTAGACTTCATCCTGGACAAGAAAGGAAAAAAATAAAAAGGAAGGTTTTTTATTTCTTTTGTACGAAGGACATTCTCAGAACAATCAGTGAAATTTGAATGGAATCTGTGAATTAGATGGTAGCAATAGATCAATGTTAATTTTATTTTGATAAGCACACTATGGTTATATATGAGAGTGTTCTTATTTTTTAGGAAATATACTCTGAACTATTTTGGAGTAATAGATATTATTTCAGCAACTTACGCTCAACAAATGACTCAGAAAATAATTACATTTGTGTGTATGTACACATATACATATATGTAAAGAGAAAGAAAATGATAAGGCAAACATGTTAAAATGTTAACAATAGGGAATCTGGAAGAAGGGTATATGAAAATTCTTTGTACTGTTCTTACAACCAATCTGTGATCTTGAAATTATTTCAAGATAAAAAATAAAACATTGGGAATTCCCTGGTGGTCCAGTGGTTACGACTCGGTGCTTTCACTGCCCGTGAAATACCTGGTCGGGGAACTAAGATCCTGAAAGCAGGACGGTGTGGCCAAAGGGGAGGAAAAAAAATGGGGAAATTATTAAAAATAAAACACTGAATCCTGTTAGAATAGGAAATATTTCTTTTATTATTTGAAATGAAAGCAAACTCAGTTTTATCAAATAAATCAGCAGTTTTTAGTTCTGGTAGTGATGATTTAACAATAAAATATGGAAAGTTTTCCCATATTTATTTTGCCATATATGTTACCCATATATTATGAATTTGAGGTACCTACCTACTGCCCTAATCAGCTAGTTCTTTATTGAAACCACCATAATTATGATCAAAAAACATCTTAAATTGTCTTGGGCTTCCCTGGTGGCGCAGTGGTTGAGAGTCTGCCTGCCGATGCAGGGGACATGGGTTCGTGCCCCGGTCGGGGAAGATCCCACATGCTGCGGAGCGGGCTCGCTGAGCCTACGCTCTGCAATGGGAGAGGCCACAACAGTGAGAGGCCCACGTAGTGCAAAAAAAAAAAAAAAAAAAAACTTAAGTTATCTCAAAATGTTTTTTTCTTTGCAATTGTTTTTTCTTAAATCATGATGATGACAGATTTTTAAATATTTTTTTAATTTATTTATTTATTTGGTTGCGCTGGGTTTTAGTTGCAGCACACAGGCTCCTTAGTTGTGGTGTGCAAACTCTTAGTTGCAGTATGCATGTGGGATCTAGTTCCCTGACCAGGGATGGAACCCGGGCCTTCTGCCTTAGAAGTGTGGAATCTTAACCACTGCACCACCAGGGAAGTCCCTGAAATTGGTTTTTGCTTTACATGACCTTATGGTTATACACTGAAGGATAGCAAATAGGTAAACTCCTTTATGGTTGGATCCCCTCTTTTGATATCAACACATGAGAAACATTTTAAACCTGTATTTTTTTTCCCACACCGGTTGGCATGTGGGATCTCAGTTCCCACAGTGGTCCCTGCAGTAGAAGTGCAGAATCCTAACCACTGGACCGCCAGGGAAGTCCTGTAAACCTGTATTTTTATCTAGGAAAAAAATAATTAGTCTTCAATGAAAGAATAAACTTTGTTTCTTAACAGGAAAATGTATAAAGCTATGATTTTTATAGGACTGAAAGTCAACAAAATATCAAGGACAATCAAACATAATTATGATTGAGCATGTCTGGGTGTTCTGTTCATAGGATATTTATGTTTGAATGACTAATAAGATAAAGACATAGAAAATTCATAAATTATAATATATTTATTCCATAAAACTTCCTTTTTATCTCTTCATTTCAGCAAAATCTCTGTGTTGTCATCACCAAGATAGCTCGTCATTTGTGTTCTACATATAAGAAGGCCAAATTGGACAACTTTTCTTGGGTCATTGTGGTTCTTGAATAATTTTTATTAATTTCAATTTGGAGAAACTTTGCTATGCTGAAGCAAGAGAAACTGGAATTTTAAATAATGTTCATAAGGCAATACTTAGATTTGGAAATGAACCGGATTTTTCACATATCACATTCAAACAATATAATGGTGTCATATATGATAAATTATTGTTTTCAATAGAATACAATAGAAACTATTACCAGATATTTTGGTATTATATAAACCATTGCCAGTTTTATTGCAATTTTCTCTGTCTCTTACAATAATATCCACATCCACCCAAGTTTTGTTATTATTCTTACAATATTTCAATGATGGGGTGTAATACAGGAAAACAGAAATAGTAGTATGTTGCTCAATTTGTTCAAATGTCTTTTCAATCAGACTATATACACTGACCTATTAGGGTCAGAAAATAATCTCTATCGAAATTAGGTTTAGGTTTATTTGTACATGTTTTCTTCTTCACATTCATGCAAACTTTTCCATTTCCTTCTTCTAATTTCCTTATATTTCATTAGAATGTCACATTTGTTGAATATTCCTCATGCAGTTTCATTCAATTTAGAAAAAAATTTGTCTATAATTTTCATATTTTTAAAAATTAGATCTGTTTGGGGTTTGAACACTTGTACTATGATTAAAAGCAAGTAATACTACATATTAAAAAATTAGATAGCACAAATTTAAAATTCACTTTTTTCTGCCAAAGACTGATTTGCTCATTATTTGAGCACCTTCTGTTGTTTCACTTTACTCTTCTACAGCCTCTCATGTCTGGTCTAAATCAAATCTAACTTTTAACACAATGAAAAACCTCTGGAACCAGGAACTGGAACATAAAAATAAGCAAGAAATTGGAGGCTTGGCTTTACTCAGTCACGAAACTTCGTTATTCCAGAATCTTTTGTGTTCACATTATCACAAAGAAAGGATTCAACAAGTTAATTTGTTTTTTTGTCTTTCCTAAAAAAAATTTCCATTACTCAAATCCTCCTGTA